TCTCAAAGAACTCCGTGTTTGAAGAAGTGTTTTGAGACGTCTCAAAGAACTCCGTGTTTGAAGAAGTGTTTTGAGACGTCTCAAAGAACTCCGTGTTTGAAGAAGTGTTTTGAGACGTCTCAAAGAACTCCGTGTTTGAAGAAGTGTTTTGAGACGTCTCAAAGAACTCCGTGTTTGAAGAAGTGTTTTGAGACGTCTCAAAGAACTCCGTGTTTGAAGAAGTGTTTTGAGACGTCTCAAAGAACTCCGTGTTTGAAGAAGTGTTTTGAGACGTCTCAAAGAACTCCGTGTTTGAAGAAGTGTTTTGAGACGTCTCAAAGAACTCCGTGTTTGAAGAAGTGTTTTGAGACGTCTCAAAGAACTCCGTGTTTGAAGAAGTGTTTTGAGACGTCTCAAAGAACTCCGTGTTTGAAGAAGTGTTTTGAGACGTCTCAAAGAACTCCGTGTTTGAAGAAGTGTTTTGAGACGTCTCAAAGAACTCCGTGTTTGAAGAAGTGTTTTGAGACGTCTCAAAGAACTCCGTGTTTGAAGAAGTGTTTTGAGACGTCTCAAAGAACTCCGTGTTTGAAGAAGTGTTTTGAGACGTCTCAAAGAACTCCGTGTTTGAAGAAGTGTTTTGAGACGTCTCAAAGAACTCCGTGTTTGAAGAAGTGTTTTGAGACGTCTCAAAGAACTCCGTGTTTGAAGAAGTGTTTTGAGACGTCTCAAAGAACTCCGTGTTTGAAGAAGTGTTTTGAGACGTCTCAAAGAACTCCGTGTTTGAAGAAGTGTTTTGAGACGTCTCAAAGAACTCCGTGTTTGAAGAAGTGTTTTGAGACGTCTCAAAGAACTCCGTGTTTGAAGAAGTGTTTTGAGACGTCTCAAAGAACTCCGTGTTTGAAGAAGTGTTTTGAGACGTCTCAAAGAACTCCGTGTTTGAAGAAGTGTTTTGAGACGTCTCAAAGAACTCCGTGTTTGAAGAAGTGTTTTGAGACGTCTCAAAGAACTCCGTGTTTGAAGAAGTGTTTTGAGACGTCTCAAAGAACTCCGTGTTTGAAGAAGTGTTTTGAGACGTCTCAAAGAACTCCGTGTTTGAAGAAGTGTTTTGAGACGTCTCAAAGAACTCCGTGTTTGAAGAAGTGTTTTGAGACGTCTCAAAGAACTCCGTGTTTGAAGAAGTGTTTTGAGACGTCTCAAAGAACTCCGTGTTTGAAGAAGTGTTTTGAGACGTCTCAAAGAACTCCGTGTTTGAAGAAGTGTTTTGAGACGTCTCAAAGAACTCCGTGTTTGAAGAAGTGTTTTGAGACGTCTCAAAGAACTCCGTGTTTGAAGAAGTGTTTTGAGACGTCTCAAAGAACTCCGTGTTTGAAGAAGTGTTTTGAGACGTCTCAAAGAACTCCGTGTTTGAAGAAGTGTTTTGAGACGTCTCAAAGAACTCCGTGTTTGAAGAAGTGTTTTGAGACGTCTCAAAGAACTCCGTGTTTGAAGAAGTGTTTTGAGACGTCTCAAAGAACTCCGTGTTTGAAGAAGTGTTTTGAGACGTCTCAAAGAACTCCGTGTTTGAAGAAGTGTTTTGAGACGTCTCAAAGAACTCCGTGTTTGAAGAAGTGTTTTGAGACGTCTCAAAGAACTCCGTGTTTGAAGAAGTGTTTTGAGACGTCTCAAAGAACTCCGTGTTTGAAGAAGTGTTTTGAGACGTCTCAAAGAACTCCGTGTTTGAAGAAGTGTTTTGAGACGTCTCAAAGAACTCCGTGTTTGAAGAAGTGTTTTGAGACGTCTCAAAGAACTCCGTGTTTGAAGAAGTGTTTTGAGACGTCTCAAAGAACTCCGTGTTTGAAGAAGTGTTTTGAGACGTCTCAAAGAACTCCGTGTTTGAAGAAGTGTTTTGAGACGTCTCAAAGAACTCCGTGTTTGAAGAAGTGTTTTGAGACGTCTCAAAGAACTCCGTGTTTGAAGAAGTGTTTTGAGACGTCTCAAAGAACTCCGTGTTTGAAGAAGTGTTTTGAGACGTCTCAAAGAACTCCGTGTTTGAAGAAGTGTTTTGAGACGTCTCAAAGAACTCCGTGTTTGAAGAAGTGTTTTGAGACGTCTCAAAGAACTCCGTGTTTGAAGAAGTGTTTTGAGACGTCTCAAAGAACTCCGTGTTTGAAGAAGTGTTTTGAGACGTCTCAAAGAACTCCGTGTTTGAAGAAGTGTTTTGAGACGTCTCAAAGAACTCCGTGTTTGAAGAAGTGTTTTGAGACGTCTCAAAGAACTCCGTGTTTGAAGAAGTGTTTTGAGACGTCTCAAAGAACTCCGTGTTTGAAGAAGTGTTTTGAGACGTCTCAAAGAACTCCGTGTTTGAAGAAGTGTTTTGAGACGTCTCAAAGAACTCCGTGTTTGAAGAAGTGTTTTGAGACGTCTCAAAGAACTCCGTGTTTGAAGAAGTGTTTTGAGACGTCTCAAAGAACTCCGTGTTTGAAGAAGTGTTTTGAGACGTCTCAAAGAACTCCGTGTTTGAAGAAGTGTTTTGAGACGTCTCAAAGAACTCCGTGTTTGAAGAAGTGTTTTGAGACGTCTCAAAGAACTCCGTGTTTGAAGAAGTGTTTTGAGACGTCTCAAAGAACTCCGTGTTTGAAGAAGTGTTTTGAGACGTCTCAAAGAACTCCGTGTTTGAAGAAGTGTTTTGAGACGTCTCAAAGAACTCCGTGTTTGAAGAAGTGTTTTGAGACGTCTCAAAGAACTCCGTGTTTGAAGAAGTGTTTTGAGACGTCTCAAAGAACTCCGTGTTTGAAGAAGTGTTTTGAGACGTCTCAAAGAACTCCGTGTTTGAAGAAGTGTTTTGAGACGTCTCAAAGAACTCCGTGTTTGAAGAAGTGTTTTGAGACGTCTCAAAGAACTCCGTGTTTGAAGAAGTGTTTTGAGACGTCTCAAAGAACTCCGTGTTTGAAGAAGTGTTTTGAGACGTCTCAAAGAACTCCGTGTTTGAAGAAGTGTTTTGAGACGTCTCAAAGAACTCCGTGTTTGAAGAAGTGTTTTGAGACGTCTCAAAGAACTCCGTGTTTGAAGAAGTGTTTTGAGACGTCTCAAAGAACTCCGTGTTTGAAGAAGTGTTTTGAGACGTCTCAAAGAACTCCGTGTTTGAAGAAGTGTTTTGAGACGTCTCAAAGAACTCCGTGTTTGAAGAAGTGTTTTGAGACGTCTCAAAGAACTCCGTGTTTGAAGAAGTGTTTTGAGACGTCTCAAAGAACTCCGTGTTTGAAGAAGTGTTTTGAGACGTCTCAAAGAACTCCGTGTTTGAAGAAGTGTTTTGAGACGTCTCAAAGAACTCCGTGTTTGAAGAAGTGTTTTGAGACGTCTCAAAGAACTCCGTGTTTGAAGAAGTGTTTTGAGACGTCTCAAAGAACTCCGTGTTTGAAGAAGTGTTTTGAGACGTCTCAAAGAACTCCGTGTTTGAAGAAGTGTTTTGAGACGTCTCAAAGAACTCCGTGTTTGAAGAAGTGTTTTGAGACGTCTCAAAGAACTCCGTGTTTGAAGAAGTGTTTTGAGACGTCTCAAAGAACTCCGTGTTTGAAGAAGTGTTTTGAGACGTCTCAAAGAACTCCGTGTTTGAAGAAGTGTTTTGAGACGTCTCAAAGAACTCCGTGTTTGAAGAAGTGTTTTGAGACGTCTCAAAGAACTCCGTGTTTGAAGAAGTGTTTTGAGACGTCTCAAAGAACTCCGTGTTTGAAGAAGTGTTTTGAGACGTCTCAAAGAACTCCGTGTTTGAAGAAGTGTTTTGAGACGTCTCAAAGAACTCCGTGTTTGAAGAAGTGTTTTGAGACGTCTCAAAGAACTCCGTGTTTGAAGAAGTGTTTTGAGACGTCTCAAAGAACTCCGTGTTTGAAGAAGTGTTTTGAGACGTCTCAAAGAACTCCGTGTTTGAAGAAGTGTTTTGAGACGTCTCAAAGAACTCCGTGTTTGAAGAAGTGTTTTGAGACGTCTCAAAGAACTCCGTGTTTGAAGAAGTGTTTTGAGACGTCTCAAAGAACTCCGTGTTTGAAGAAGTGTTTTGAGACGTCTCAAAGAACTCCGTGTTTGAAGAAGTGTTTTGAGACGTCTCAAAGAACTCCGTGTTTGAAGAAGTGTTTTGAGACGTCTCAAAGAACTCCGTGTTTGAAGAAGTGTTTTGAGACGTCTCAAAGAACTCCGTGTTTGAAGAAGTGTTTTGAGACGTCTCAAAGAACTCCGTGTTTGAAGAAGTGTTTTGAGACGTCTCAAAGAACTCCGTGTTTGAAGAAGTGTTTTGAGACGTCTCAAAGAACTCCGTGTTTGAAGAAGTGTTTTGAGACGTCTCAAAGAACTCCGTGTTTGAAGAAGTGTTTTGAGACGTCTCAAAGAACTCCGTGTTTGAAGAAGTGTTTTGAGACGTCTCAAAGAACTCCGTGTTTGAAGAAGTGTTTTGAGACGTCTCAAAGAACTCCGTGTTTGAAGAAGTGTTTTGAGACGTCTCAAAGAACTCCGTGTTTGAAGAAGTGTTTTGAGACGTCTCAAAGAACTCCGTGTTTGAAGAAGTGTTTTGAGACGTCTCAAAGAACTCCGTGTTTGAAGAAGTGTTTTGAGACGTCTCAAAGAACTCCGTGTTTGAAGAAGTGTTTTGAGACGTCTCAAAGAACTCCGTGTTTGAAGAAGTGTTTTGAGACGTCTCAAAGAACTCCGTGTTTGAAGAAGTGTTTTGAGACGTCTCAAAGAACTCCGTGTTTGAAGAAGTGTTTTGAGACGTCTCAAAGAACTCCGTGTTTGAAGAAGTGTTTTGAGACGTCTCAAAGAACTCCGTGTTTGAAGAAGTGTTTTGAGACGTCTCAAAGAACTCCGTGTTTGAAGAAGTGTTTTGAGACGTCTCAAAGAACTCCGTGTTTGAAGAAGTGTTTTGAGACGTCTCAAAGAACTCCGTGTTTGAAGAAGTGTTTTGAGACGTCTCAAAGAACTCCGTGTTTGAAGAAGGCTCCCCTTACTCCTCTCTCTCCCCCTTCCGCAACTCTCATCCCACCCCCCCTTATCAGGTGCGCAGCAGGCAGCACAATGCTGACAGCAGCAGCAGCAGCAGCAGCGGTGGCGGCAGCAGCAGGTGCCACAGTGCCAGGTGGCGGGCTGCGATTGGTCAAGGGGTCGTCAGCGGCAGTGACTCGCATTCATGGTCGCATCTTCCCTGAGGGGTGAGAGGGAGGGGTTTGATTTGAAAGGGGTTTGGAAGGGGGGGGGGAGGGAATGCGTGTGCTGGGTAGCTTGCAATGCCCCCATTCTGTCTTGCACCCCTTTTTGCAATCTCCCCGATCTTCCCTCTGTCCCAACCCCTGTCCCCTTTCCCAGGCTATACTACATAGCAGTGGGTCTCGGCACCCCTCGGCGCACCTATTTCCTTGACATAGACACGGGCAGCCACGTCTCTTGGGTCGCTTGCGATGCTCCCCTCACGCCCCTGTGTCCCTCCTCTCCCCCTCTCTCCCCACTTTCTCCTCACCCCCCCAGCCTTTACTACATAGCAGTGGGTCTCGGCACCCCTCCGCGCACCTATTTCCTCGATATAGACACGGGAAGCCACGTGTCCTGGGTGGCCTGCGACGCTCCCTGTGTCAATTGCGCTCAGGTGGGGCTCTGTTGCGCTCAAGTGATTCTTCGGTTGCTCTCAGGTGGGGCTCTGTTTCGCTCAGGTGGAATTCTGTTGCGCTCAGGTAACCTTCTATTATTCTCAGGTGACATTCTGTTGCGACCAGGTGGTATCACAGGGGAACCTTGGCCTGCTTTCTCCACTGGTCGGATCTCCACTGGTCGGATCTCCACTGGTCGGACCTCCACTGCTTATCCCCTTGATGCTCTTGCTTTGTTTCCTCCCCTTCCCTCCCCAGGGTCTAAACCCATGGTAGTACCATTCGTCCCATGCCTTTCCCGTGGCCTGTTCCCCCTCTCAGCTCAAAGCACCTCCCCCTGTTAATCTCGCTTTGCTTCCCCCCTCCAGGGCCCCAACCCATGGTACGACCCCTCCCATGCCTCTCTCGTGGACTGCCATTCCGACCTCTGCCAAGCCGCACAGACAGGCTTCATCCGAGGCTGCTCCTCAGGCTCGGAAGACGAGCCTTCAGACTCGGAAGGTGCCGAAGCTGCGGATGCGGGTCGGGTCGGGGAGGGGGTTCATACCAAGCCACGGCATCTGCAAGAGGCGTCCAGAGGGGTTATGAACGGTACCAGTGGTGCTGCTGCTGCTGGGGACAGTAACCAGAGTGACAGTATCGGAGGTGACAATAACGAGAGTGACAGTGACAGCAGCGGGCAGTGTGACTATGACATAGTGTACACGGACGGAAGCAGCTCACAGGGTGTGCTTGTAACGGATAGGTTACTGTTCCTGCACCCCTCGGGCACACTCAAGGCCACGCAGTTCACATTCGGGTGAGACTATAGTTATGGGCTTATCAATTGCTGTAATACATTGCAATTTGCTATGTCGTGTCACTCTTCTGGTTCCATTCGCCCCACCCTGCCCAACCTGCCCGCACCCCAATCCACGCAGATGTGCATACGACCAGGAGGGCGATCTCGCTGTCTCCCCTGCTCGATCCGATGGCGTGTTGGGCCTCGGCCCTTCCAACCTCTCACTCCCTGCCCAGGTTCTCTCTCCTGCCCTCCCACTTCCACTCGTCAATGCGGGTCAATGCGGGTCAATGTAGGTCAATGTTGGTCAATGCTCATCACCGCTTTATTGGTGTTTGGTTCTGTTTTCTCCTTTTCTCTTCCCCGTATTCTCCCCCTCCTTTACTCCTCCCTCCCTCCCCCCTCCCCTTGCCACGCCACACCCACCAGCTGTCCAGAGCAGGGGCGGGGCGCAACGTGTTGGGCCACTGTCTGTCTGTCTGTCTGTAGTTGAGGGGTTGGAGGCGTTACAATGCACATTTGAAGCTCTTCCCTCCTTACTTTCTTGCCCCTCCCTCCCTCCCCCCTCCCCTTGCCACGCCACACCACCGGCTGTCAAGAGCAGGGGCGGGGCACAACATGTTTGCCCACTGTCTGGACTCGGCAGCACCTGCATCCCTCCCATCCCACCCTTCTTCTCTCTCGTTTCCTCCCTTCCCCCTCCCCTGACTTCCCCCCGCCGTACGTCCCCTCCCCTCAACCCCACCAGCTTTCGAGAGCAGGGGCGGGGCGAAATGTGTTCGGCCACTGCCCTGATTCAGCAGCATCTGCATCCCCCCCCTCCCTTCCCCGTCCCCTTCCTGTCCCCAACCTCTCCTCTCCTCAACCCCACCAGCTGTCGAGAGCGGGCGCGGGGCGCAATGTGTTCGGCCACACTAGGAGGTGCGTCAAGGCATTCCCACGTGCATCTGCATCTCCCCCCTCCCGTCCCGTCCCCCTCCCGTCCCCCTCCCCTTCTTTCCCCCACCAGCTGTCGAGAGCAGGGGCGGGGCGCAACGTGTTCGGCCACTGTCTGTTTCCTTTCCCCTCATTCTTCCTTCCTTCCCCTTTCGCTTCTTCCATTGACCCTCCCCCCTCACTACTCACCACATCACCAGCTGTCGAGAGCAGGGGCGGGGCGCAACGTTTTTGGCCACTGTCTGGATTCGGCGGCGTCTGGGGGAGGTTACTTCTTCATTGGCGACGCGCTTTTACCCAGCACCCTCACCTGGACCCCTCGCGCCTCAAAAAGCGACACGTGAGTGAAGCACTCTCACCCAGGGCTCTAGCTCTGGTATAGCACCTCACCTCCCTTGAGAAACGGCAGCATCTGGGGGAGGTTACTTCTTCATTTGGGGATGCGCTCTTACCCAGAAGCATCCTCAGGTGAACCCCCCTCATCGCAACAAGCGACACGTGAGTGAAGCACTTTCACCCAGGGCTCAAGTCAGGTATCTGGGGGAGGTTACTTCTTCATTGGTGACAAGCTCCTACCCAGCACCCTCACCTGGACCCCCCGTGCTGCTTTGAGTGACTCGTGAGTGCGATACCCCACTGCCCATGGCTGGTAAGGTGCAATTTCACCTCCCTTCCCTTGGTGCTTCTACATTGGAGACGCACTCCTCCTACCCAGCACAGCACCCTCACCTGGACCCCCCGTGCTGCTTTGAGGGACTCGAGAGTGAGTGAGGAGAGATACAAGGTTGGTACTTTCGCCTTTGTACCATGTGATAGGCGGCATCTGGGGGAGGTTACTTCTTCATTGGGTATGCGCTCTTACCCAGTGCCCTCACCTGGACCCCCGATGCTGCATTGAGCGACTCTTGAGTGGGCGGGGCGCAAGTAATTATTAGCACTGGTGCTCATGTGCTATCTATCTCACCTCCCTTGTTCAATGAGTAAGCACTCTTATGCAGGGCCCTCACGTGGACCCCCGATGCTGCACTGAGTGGCTCTTGAGTGGGTGGGGGTGTGGTGAATAGCTCTTTCTCTGATGGGTATGCGCTCTTACCCAGTGCCCTCACCTGGACCCCCGGTGCTGCACTGAGTTACTCGTGAGTGGTGATGTGAGGGAGTGACTGAGGTAGTGACTGAGTAAGTGGGTGAATTTCTGAGTGAGTGAGTGAGTGAGTGTGAGTGCGTGAGTGAGTCATTCCCTCCTTCCCATACAATTTCTGTCTCTCCTATTTCCAATCCCCTCTCCCCCATCACAGCCGCTACTACCACACATCGCTCCTCCACATCTCCACTCATTCCCTCCTTCCCAACTCTCCTATTCCTAACTCATCCACTCATACCCATTCTCTCCTATTTCCGATCCCCTCTCACACATCCTCACCCATCACAGCCGCTACTACCTACGCGTCGCTCCTCTGCATCTCCACTCATCCCCTCGTTCCCAACTCATACCCATTCTCTCCTATTTCCCATCCCCTCTCACCCATCCTCACCCATCCTCACCCATCCCAGCCGCTACTACCACGCGTCGCTCCTCCACATCTCTTACGGTTCCAAGAAGCTTCCCATCGACGATCCCAAGGCGCTCCACAATAAGCACGCGGGCTCTCAATCTGCTTATAACGAGGATGGTGGAGTGGAGAGCGGAGGAGCGATATTCGACTCGGGGTCGTCGTTCGCCTACATGCCTGCTGCCCCATTTGAAGCTCTGCTAGAAATGGTGAGAGGAATTCTTATGCGGGTGAAGTGTGTCTGTTCGCCTGCCTGCTGCTTCCTTTGACTCACTGCTGCTGGTGGTGAGAGGGATTCTCACGCGGGTTAAGTGCCTCTGTTCACCTGCCTGCTGGGTGGAGTGGAAACTGGAGGGGCGATATTCGACTTGGGGTCGTCGTTTGCCTACATGCCTGCCTGCTGCTCCCTTTGGGGCGCTGCTACAGATGGTGAGGGAGGGGCCCTGAGATGTATGGATAGGAAGAGCAAGTATGGTGTGTCTGTTGGCTTACCTGCTACTGCTTTGCACTCTGGGTCGTCATTTCCAATTCTCATATCCAACTCTGTTCTGTGCGCTAATCGTATACCCATTGCTCCTCCCCTCCCAGGTATCAGCCAATGCAGCCGCAGCAGGCCTGCAGGCAGGCACCACCGCGACTGTGCTACCGCACTGCTGGCGAGCAGGGAAAGGGGCACTAGTCCCTGACTCCAATTCCTTTGCTGCTCTCTTGACCCTCTCACGCCCCTCCTCCCAGGTAGCAGCTGATGCAGCAGCAGCAGGCCTGCAGGCAGGCACCACCGCGACTGTGCTACCGCACTGCTGGCGGGCAGGGAAAGGGGCACTAGTCCCTGACTCCAATTCCTTTGCTGCTCTCTTGACCCTCTCACGCCCCTCCTCCCAGGTATCAGCTGATGCAGCAGCAGCGGGCCTGCAGGCAGGCACCACCGCGACTGTGCTACCGCACTGCTGGCGGGCAGGGAAAGGGGCACTAGTCCCTGACTCCAATTCCTTTGCTGCTCTCTTGACCCTCTCACGCCCCTCCTCCCAGGTAGCAGCTGATGCAGCAGCAGCAGGCCTGCAGGCAGGCACCACCGCGACTGTGCTACCGCACTGCTGGCGGGCAGGGAAAGGGGCACTAGTCCCTGACTCCAATTCCTTTGCTGCTCTCTTGACCCTCTCACGCCCCTCCTCCCAGGTATCAGCTGATGCAGCAGCAGCGGGCCTGCAGGCAGGCACCACCGCGACTGTGCTACCGCACTGCTGGCGGGCAGGGAAAGGGGCACTAGTCCCTGACTCCAATTCCTTTGCTGCTCTCTTGACCCTCTCACGCCCCTCCTCCCAGGTATCAGCTGATGCAGCAGCAGCGGGCCTGCAGGCAGACACGACCGTGACTGTGCTGCCGCACTGCTGGCGGCTGGGGAAAGGGGCGCCAGGGATCAGGTGCGTGGATTGAGAGAGTCAGCTTTGGCTTTTCAATCGACTTCAAGTTCGGCCCTTTTTTAATGCATTCGCATGCAACACCATCCAACCCCATGCCACCCCGTTGCAACCCTTCGCAACCCCATGCAACCCCATGCAACCCCCCCCCCAACCCCATGCATTCAAAATTTGAACCCTCTCCATGCCTTCTTCCTCTCAGGTCCGTTGCTGACGTGGCATCCCATTTCTCTGCCCTCACATTCTCGTTCCAGTCACATTCAATCTTCTCCTCCTCAGCTGATCTCTCCGTTGCTCCCGCCACCTACCTCCTCTCACCGGTTAGTTACTGTCACAGTGGTCGGGTAAGACGGTGGCCGGTGAGGTAAGGTGGGGCTTGGGTGAGCAACACTCGTGTGGCACCCCATTTAAGTCTCATCTAAGTCCCACACAATCTTCTCACGTGGCACCCCATTTCTCTGCCCTCAGTCCCACATAATCTTCTCACGTGGCGTCTCACTTCTCTGCCCTCACCTTCTCGTTTGAGTCACACACAATCTTCTCCTCCTCGGCTGATCTTTCCGTTGCTCCCGCCACCTACCTCCTCTCACGGGTTAGTTACTGCCACAGTGGTCGGGTAAGACGGTGGTCGGTGAGGTAAGGTGGGGCTTGGGTGAGCAACACTCGTGTGGCACCCCATTTCTCTGCCCTCAGTCCCACGTAAACTTCTCGCGTGGCGTCTCACTTCTCTGCCCTCACCTTCTCCTTTTACTCACTCAATCTTCTCCTCCTCGGCTGATCTCTCCGTTGCTCCCGCCGCCTTCCACCTCTAACCGGCGAAAAATGGAAAGACGGGGAGGGAGTGGTGGGGAAGGGAGCGAGGGGAAAGGGAGTGGGGGGGAAAGGGAGTGGGGGGGAAAGGGAGTGGGGGGGAAAGGGAGTGGGGGGGAAAGGGAGTGGGGGGGAAAGGGAGTGGGGGGGAAAGGGAGTGGGGGGGAAAGGGAGTGGGGGGGAAAGGGAGTGGGAGGGAAGTGAGGAGGAGATGGATGGTGGTGAATCCAGGTCTTCCTTTTTCTGTTTCTCCCACCTCTGTGTGGGAAGGAGGGGCAGGCATTGGGGACGAGTCAATCGCATTGGCAGGTGCTTCCCCAATGCAGAAGAGGAAGGTGAGGGCAGAGAAATGGGATGCCTTCTTCCCCTCTTCCTCTCTTCCCCTCCTGCCTGCCCCTTCTCCTCCCTCCCTTCACCCCCATTATACCACAGAGGCATGGCACGGTGTGTCTTGGCATTCGGAATGGGAACGAGTCAATCGCATTGGGGGGTCAATTGCATTGGGGGGTGCTTCCCTCTTCCTCTCTTCACCTCTTCCCCTCCTGCCTGCCCCTTCCCCTCACTCCCTTCACCCCCATTGTGCAACAGGGGCATGGCACGGTGTGTCTTGGCATTCTGAATGGAGAGGAGTCAATCGCGTTGGGAGGCGCTTCCCGAACCATCATCGGAGGTACGGTAACTCACCGGACCATGATCGGAGGTACGGTAATGTGCTCTACACTGGACCACTGCCAGAGGCACGGTTACTCATGGTTCACTGGACCATCGGTGGACCATCAGTGGACCATCAGTGGACCATCAGTGGAGGTATGGCATTCCCCATATAGCCCACATTGTGGACACTGCACAGGTGTGTTCCGCTGTATAATGCATCTTTATAGGCCATGCGTCAAAGATGCAGTGTCTTGCCAGGCTATTTTGCGGTGCCTCGAATCTGTGTGCCGGTCGGGTTTTAAGCACAGACATGTGATCCGCACATGATTTCTCTTGTAGCTGTGTTGACTTTTGAGTCGACTCAAAAGTGCCTCGAATCCCTGTGCCAGTCGGGTTTTAACCACAGCTATGTGATCCGCTATGTGGAACAGCGGAACACACCTGTGCAGTGTCCACGCATCGCTATGTGATCCGCACTCGGTCTCTCTCTTGTAGCTGTGGTTAAAAGCCATCCGGCTAAAACACACAGACCTCCTCGCATCCCTGCAGTGCAATTCAGGCTCCTCTTCTTGGGAATGTTCATCTGGCTTCATCTTCTTTCTCTTATTGGGAATGTTCATCTGGCTTCATCTTCTTTCTCTTATTGGGAATGTTCATCTGGCTTCATCTTCTTTCTCTTATTGGGAATGTTCATCTGGCTTCATCTTCTTTCTCTTATTGGGAATGTTCATCTGGCTTCATCTTCTTTCTCTTATTGGGAATGTTCATCTGGCTTCATCTTCTTTCTCTTATTGGGAATGTTCATCTGGCTTCATCTTCTTTCTCTTATTGGGAATGTTCATCTGGCTTCATCTTCTTTCTCTTATTGGGAATGTTCATCTGGCTTCATCTTCTTTCTCTTATTGGGAATGTTCATCTGGCTTCATCTTCTTTCTCTTATTGGGAATGTTCATCTGGCTTCATCTTCTTTCTCTTATTGGGAATGTTCATCTGGCTTCATCTTCTTTCTCTTCTTGGGAATGTTCATCTGGCTTCATCTTCTTTCTCTTACCTAGACATTCTTTTCATTTCACAACCTCTCGTCTGCCCTGGCCTTCTTGCCTGGTGAATAAATGGTACCATTAACTCTCCTTTCCAAATCCTCTGATCTGGTTACCCTGTGCTGCAGATATCGCGATGCGTGGTTACCTTATAGTGTATGATAATGAGAATGCAAGGATTGGTTGGACCTTGGCCAATTGTTCCTCCAAACCATGAACGTTACGGGGTATGTGAATTATGCCGTTTGTATATATAACATTATCCTCCGTTTGTGGCTATGGTATGGTTTCCTTGCAACGAAGAAGGGATTCTGAAATATGAAAATGACCCACTCGGATATAATCAACATTTGGTTCTCATTTCAGATCAAAGCGGTCAACCTGTATTCTTTTTAATTTCTTCAACCTGCTAGGCGTGTTACTCCTGGGTTAATACGGTACTGTACCTTAATCGATAGGAATACTAAGGAGGGAAAGGCCCGGTTATAATGGTCAATAAAAACTCCAGAACCCTTATTGATACAACTACACAAAAGGTATAACAAGCCTGGATAGAACAAAGGATGCAATTTGCAGTGCTACATTAAAACACCATACTGTAATAGATCCTACCACAGTGCAAGCATACGGTACCTACACTACAGTAAACAATCACACATAGAATAAGGCAAGCATAGCAGTCTACAGCTACTAATGCAAATAAAGCAGTACTGAGCCTGAAACTGTTGAGAACATAACGGAAATAGAGAACCAAGCAAGCAGGAAAGCATGAACCAAATCAAAACCGACACGGAGAGAATACCACGCGGCTGCGGCTGCTGCTGCTGCTGCTGCTGGCGTTGCCTTACGTCTAGATTCGCTGCATCAGGTGTTAGCAGCCGCTTGCATAGAAGCGTACAGTCAGCGCCTCACACCAAGTAGCAACCTCTCTTAGCCAAGCTGTCACCCAATGGCTGCTGCCCAGAGTATCAGAAGTCGAAGCTTAGTGCCACAGCAGTTGAAACCCACATCAGACAAGGTTGGTAAGGTCGGTAACAGGGGATCTCAGGAGGAGGACCAGAGACACCTTGTAAGCAGCAGGTGGAGGAGCAGCACGGCTTGCTCTCTATGTTAGGAGGTAGGTGTTAGGAAGACATTTGGGCCGTAAAAGCAGCTGGTGAAGACCCGTTTCGAGCCACTGGGAAGGTGACTATGGAGTCGAGTCGACTTAGTAGTCACCTGTGCAAGTGCAGTGACGATCGGTTGGACTTATCTGCGTAAGTGCAGTGACCCAGCACATTGGTGAGGTGTTCTGAGCCAGTGGTGAGGACTCAGGACTTTGGTAGGGGTAGGTGTTAGCTTGACCGCAGCTGTGGTTGGTTGGTGGGGCAGCTCTTGCGCTGTCCACGTGTCAGGCTGCGGTTGGTTGGTTGGCAATAGGTATCAACGAGTTGGACGGCTGCTGCGTGCTAAACAGCTGCCGCCGCCGCTGCTGCTGCTGCTGCTGCTGCTGCTGCTGTTGGTTGTTTGATGTAGCTGTGGCGATTCATGGGCGTTAGAAGTTAGCAGAGCAAGCTTCATGCCTCCTCGCTGACTGACTGACTAGAGGTGCTCCATTCCTCTCCTCTCCCGTCCCCTCCCTTTCTCTTTCCTCACATGCAGCAGTGAGCTATGGCACAGATGGGCTGTGGGGGAAAGGGGGGGTAGGGGTTCAAGGGGGGGGGGAGGGAGACGCTGATGAGGGGGGTGGGGTGGAATAACGTATAGATAAGCTAACTATCTAACAGCTACTAGCATGCACCGCCCACATGTAGTAGCAGAGGGCAATCGCACAAATGGGCAGGAGTGGGGTGAAGCGGCTAGAGAGAAGAAGGATCAGGTCAGACACACACATACCCGACCCGACCGCACGTGCCAGCACCACTGCTGGCATGTGCTGCAGCGCGCTAGAACCACATGCATTTACACCCCACACCATACACCACCGCACTGGACCGCTCTGCACTGCAACAAACTGCACCAGAACTCATATGAACACCCTTAGAAGCCCTGGCTGCGGCTCCAGCACATGAAGCCCCTCCTGGTCGACCAAATACTGCTCCACCCGTCCTGGCATGTGCTGCAGTGCACGGAATCCACAGGCAATCCCCCCCACATCCGCACCCACACCACATCCCACCACACCCCACCGCATTGCACCGCACAGCACTGCACAGAACTCACATGAATACCCTCAAAAGGCCTGGCTGCGGCTCCAACACGTGAAGCCCCTCCTGGTCGACCAAATACTGCTCCACCACTGCTGGCATGTGCTGTAGGGCGCGGTCGCTGGTGTAGAGGCCTGAACCCACACGCACATAGAGCTGGCACAAGGCGAGGCAGGGAGGGTGGCAACGGAGGGGAATGGAGTGTAAAGACTCAGGGGAGATGCATGGGGATACATGGATGTCCACAAGATATTGCTCCACCACGGCTGGCATGTGCTGCAGTGCACGGTCACTGGTGTAGAGGCCTGAACCCACACGCACGTAGAGCTGGAGAGGGGAAGAAAAGGCAGCACAAGGCAGGGAAGATGGAAAGCTATGGAGGTATTTCTTTCTTCACTGCTCTGCTCGTTGCGCTGCAAACCACAAGGCCGCCACCTCCTGCTGCAGCAGGCACACGGCATTCAACACGTGCATGCCCCTCAGCTCCAACACCCGCCTCTAAGAACCACCTGCTCCTGCATGTGTGGGCTTATACCTGCTGCTCTTGGGAAAGCAAACACGGGCTCGTTCGTACCTGCTGGCGAGACTTGGTGCGCTGAGCAGCGAACCGCAAAGCCGCCACCTCCTGCTGCAGCAGGCACACGGCATTGGACACGTGCATGCCCCTCAGCTCCAACACTCTGCTCTTGCAAACTGGCTGTGTCGGTTCATACCTGCTGGCGGGATTTGGTGCGCTGAGCAGCAAACCTCAGCTCCAACACCCGCCTCTAAAAACCACCTGCTGCTGCACGTGTTGGCTCATACCTTGGAAAAGGACACACTGACTCATACCTGCTGCTCTTGGGAAAGCACACACAGGCTCGTACCTGCTGGCGAGACTTGGTGCGCTGAGCAGCGAACCGCAAAGCCGCCACCTCCTGCTGCAGCAGGCACACGGCATTGGACACGTGCATGCCCCTCAGCTCCAACACTCTGCTCTTGCAAACTGGCTGTGTCGGTTCATACCTGCTGGCGGGATTTGGTGCGCTGAGCAGCAACCCTCAGCTCCAACACCCGCCTCTAAAAACCACCTGCTGCTGCACGTGTTGGCTCATACCTTGGAAAAGGACACACTGACTCATACCTGCTGCTCTTGGGAAAGCACACACAGGCTCGTACCTGCTGGCGAGACTTGGTGCGCTGAGCAGCAAACCGCAGAGCAGCCACCTCCTGCTGCAGCAGGCACACGGCATTGGACACGTGCATGCCCCTCAGCTCCAACACCCGCGTGAGCCTATACCGGGTCCTGCTGGCAACACGTGTGCACTCATACCTGCTGGCGGGACTTGGTGCGCTGAGCAGCGAACCGTAAAGCCGCCACCTCCTGTTGCAGCAGGCACACGGCGTTGGACACGTGCATGCCCCTCAGCTCCAACACACCCCCCTCTAGCAACCACCTGCTGCTGCATGTGCCCGCTCATACCTTGGGAAAGCACGCACAGGCTCGTACCTGTTGGCGGGACTTGGTGCGTTGAGCCACGAACCGCAGAGCAGCCACCTCCTGCTGCAGCAGGCACACGGCGTTGGACACGTGCATGCCCCTCAGCTCCAGCACCCGCGCCGGGTCGTTTTGCATGCCAGGAGGTGGGAGAGGGCCGGAAGGCGCAGGGGCAGACTGAGGAGGGGCAGGAGGTACTCGTACCTGCTGGCGGGACTTGGTGCGTTGGGCGGCGAATCGTAAAGCCGCCACCTCCTGCTGCAGCAGGCACACGGCGTTGGACACGTGCATGCCCCTCAGCTCCAGCACCCGTGCGGGGTCGTTTTGCATGCCGGGCGGAGGGGGAGGCCCAGACGGAGGAGCGGGGGAAGCAGGAGCAGGAGGAGGAGCGGCAGCAGGAGGGGCGGGGGCAGGAGGAGCAGGAGCGGGAGAGGCAGGAACACAGCCCCCTTGGGAAAGAGAGGCGTCTGGGGTATCAAATGTGAGCATGCGCGCAGCACTGCTGCTGCTGTTGCTGCTGCTCATTCCGCTGCCTATACCACCGCCGCCGCCGTTGCCGTTTGTGTTGCCGTCGGTGCTGCTGTTGCCCCCGCCGTTGTTGCTTGCACTGCCCATGCTCACGCTGCTGCTGCTGAAGCCGTTGCTGATGTTGCTGCCACTGCGGCTGCTGTTGAATTCACTCAAGCTGTTCGTGCCGAAGCTGCTGCTGCCGAAGCTGCCAGGTTCGGCAGTCCCAGACGAGAGCGAGCCGGAAGGCAGTTCCCTGCATTGAACAACAGGGAAAATTAGCGAGAAACTCAGGAAGAAACGGAACAGGACGAACACAGAACAAAATGAGGCGTTAAACAAAAGGCACCAGAACACATGACGTGTGCATGGGGGGGGGGGGGGGAGGAGGTGAGGTGGGGGGGCATTAGGTGCTAGAAGTAGGGCCATATGGTACCCAGAGTCAGCTTACCATATGGCCCTACTTCTAGGACTGATGGCCTTACAGGGTCTCTTTCTAAGGAAGAACACACGTGATGCCATATGCGAGCGCGTCAACGTCAAGGCTTCTCCTGGGATTGAAGCTTGACGGTGACTTTTGAGTCGACTCAAAAGTCAAAAGAGCCCCCCTTTCAAGAGGTAGGCTAACCCACACACCTGATGCCATATGTGAGCGCGTCAACGTCTAGGCTCCTCCTGGGGTTGAAGCTTGACGGTGGATCGGGGTTGGTGTTGGCATCAGGGGCCCACTGGTGGAGCAGGGAAACACACACAGGAATGAGGGGCAGGAGGGGGAAGGGGAGAGGGTTGGGGAATGCTGTATGTGAGCGCGTCCACGTCAAGACTCCTCCAAGGGTTAAAGCTTGACGGTGGATCGGGGTTGGTGCTGGCATCAGGGGCCCACTGGGGGAGCAGGGAAATGGGGAAATGGGGAAATGGCAAAATGAGTGGTGGGAGAGGAGACGGGGAAGGAATACGGAATAAACCAGGCAGAAAGAAGAGGTGAGAGAGTTGCAAATCGGATAGGGAATGGGGGAAGCAATACGGAATTGACAGGGCAGGGTCAAAGAGAGAGGTGAGAGAAAAGAGGGAATCAAAACGGAAAGGGAAGGGAATGGGAGAGGGAATGGGAAAGGGATACGGAATGGACCAGGCAGGGGGGGCTCACTGGCAAATCACTGGCACCCATGCGCTCATGCCAAGCGCCCATGCACCCATGCGCCCATGCCATGCACCCATGCGCCCATGTCAGACACCCATGCACCCATGCCAGGACCCATGCGCCCATGCACCCACCCATGCACCCATGCACCCATCCACCCATACCAATCATGTATCTACCTTGTTGAGTGGTTGTGAGGCTGTGCGGGCAGGTAGAGTGTGGGAGAGGGGATGAGGACCCTCCTTCGAACCCACCACGTCAAGACCTGCCATGCAACCAAGCACCCATACCATGCCATACGCCCATGTCATGCATTCAGAGAAACACCACGAAGAGGAATATAATGGTGGGCACTGGAGCAGAAAAACATCGCTGCAAGCCGTTGCTATTCGGCATGTTAGAGCGAGGAATGCAAAATCAGCGTGATACAAATGATGGTTGCAACTCAGCTTGATGCAAACTCATTCGCCAACTCACCAGCCCTTTCAAACTGAAACATCTCCTCCCCACGAAGCAAATGCTGCTGCTGTTGCTGCTGCTGCTGTTGCTGCTGCTGCTGCTGTTGCTTCTCCTCGAATTCCCCTCGCCTCCCCTCAAACCCCCCGGGCTTGCACGGACTCATATCCCACACTGAACCCACACCACCAGCACCACCAGCACCATACAAGCCCGCATATCCGTCACTGTTGCCTTGAAACCCCTGCTTCTCCCCTGCCTTCTCCCCCTGCTGCTGCCGAACCCACCACTGCATCTCATCCAGCCCCGGAGCTCCAGGCCCGGCCGAGCCAAACGGTTTCAGGTTCGGCATGGAGCGGGAGAGGAGGCTCGGGTCCAAACCACCGTCCGGACCTCCATCCGAAGCAGCAGAACCACCAACCCCACCAGGACCCCCAGGGGAGTTCAAAATGTGGGCGCTGAAACGGTGAGGGTGGGAGGAGGAGGCGGAATGAGTAGCAGTAACCGCTCTACCACCAGCAGCAGCGGCAGCAGCAGCAGAGGAGTAGTGATGGGGAGGGGGAGGCGAGGCAAAGTTAGAGAGGGAACCGAGAGGTGGGGAGCGTTGGGAAGGGCGAGTAGGGCCGGAGTGTAGCGAGGGGTCCCCGTCCTCTTGGTATTGCTGTGCATGGTGGTAGGAAGCCAAGGCGGGAGGTAAAGAGGCAAGGAAGCAAGAAGGCAAGAAGGCAGGAACGGAGGCAACAAAGGTTAGAGAAAGGACTAGCAAGCGGGGCGAGGGGTCCCCATATTCCTGTCATTGCCATGTGTTGGGAGTTGAGAGAGCAATGGCGGAAACAATCCCAGACAAGATGGAGAACAAGAAATGCATAGTTTTTGCATTCCCCCATTCCCAAACCCTCCAGTCCTTCGTTCCCCATCAATCCTTCACCCACCCACCCTGTTCCCCCATTTTCCCGCCCGCAACGGCCTTCCACACACCTGCAGCTGCCACAGAGCCTCAATTGTCGCCCCCAGGTCCGCCCCATGCGCGAAGAACGCGTCCGCCAGGCTCTGCATGGAAAAATCCGGGAATTCCGCCGCCAGCACCAGAATCGGATCCTCCAGCGCGTGGTGCGGGGGCGGGGGCGGACCCCCCCCGCGCGGATGCCCCCCGGGGGAAGGCGCGTGCCCGTGCGGAGGCCCCGGGGGATGCGCGCGCGCGTGGTGGGGGGGGAGATGATGGGGCGGCGGGGGCGGGGGCATGCCTGGGGGCGGCATCCCCTCGTCTAGGTAGAATCCCCCCAGCTCGTGCGGGGGGAGGCCATGGGGGGGCGGGGGAGGGGGATCATGCAGCGGAAATCCCCCATGCGCGTTGTACTCCGCGCCTGGGCCCCCCGCGCCAGGGGGACCCTCCTCTAGCTCATCCAGCGGACCAGGGTTCCACCCCGCGGACGGTCCGCGGAACCTTCTATCTAGCATGCGCGCCGGCCCTGGGGGAAGCTCAAACGGCGGCGGAAAGTGCCCGCCGTTGTCTCCCCCTCCTGGGGGCATCCCTCCGCCTCCGCCCTCGCCGTTTCCTCCCCCTCCGCCTCCGCCTCCTCCGCCTGGTCCCCCACCTCCTCCTCCGCCGCCTCCTCCCCTTCCCCCCGGCCCCGCCCTCCTCCCCTGCTGGTGCGGGTCCCGCAGCGGGTGCATGGGGCTGCGCTGATCCAAGCTGTTCCGCCGGTTCTGCTGCGGGTGGCGCAAATGCCCTCCCCCCCTGCCCACGCCCATCGGACTACGGTGGTCTAGACTGCCTATACCTTGATTAAGCGGCGACGGCGGCTCTTCTCCTCCCCGTCCCCTCGGACCTGGTCTGGAGTACCGCGGGTGCGGGGACCTAGACGGGGAGAAGCTGTTAGGGGGACCTGGCGGGCCCATATTTCCCCCTCCGCCTCCGCCCCCCGCGCCCCTGCCGGGGTTTATGTGGGGGGGCGGCGGAGAGCCCAAGCGCGGGCCTACTTCCGGGCTGAACGGCGGACCAGGCGCGAATCTTCCGCCATGCCCGCCAGGTCCGCCCATTCCCCCGGGGCCCAATGGTCCGCCTCCGCGCCCGCCTCTTCCCCCGGGGCCTTGGTAAAGCGCGTTAGGGGGAGGAAGTCCCCCGGGGCCGGGCATGGGGCTACCTGGGGGGCCCATGGGCGGACCATCTCCCCTGCCGTCCATCCGGCCGTCCATCCTGCCGTCCATCCGACCGTCCATCCTGCCGTCCATCCGGCCGTCCATCCTGCCGTCCATCCTGCCGTCCATTCTGCCGTCCATCCTGCCGTCCATCCTGCCGTCCATCCGGCCATCCATCCTGCCGTCCATCCGGCCGTCCATTCTCCCAGGTCCATCTAACGGCGGTCCAAATTGCCCGCGCCTGGACGACTCCGAAATTCCGGGCGGGAGTCCCCGCCCCCCTTCCCCTGCTCCGCCTCTTCCGCCCAGCAGCTGCGACGGCGGAAGCATGTGATGCGGGGGAGGCGGCGGGCCGTGGCGGGCGGGGGAGAATTGGAGCGGGCTGCCGCGGAGAGCGGGATTGAAGCGGTGCGCACCGGCGGGAGCGGGGGAAGCGGGGAGAGAGTTGGACGGGCGCGGATGGTTTCCTCCCCCCAAGTGCTCGAAATGCGGGGGGGGATAGTTATCGAAGGGGTATCCTGCGCCAGGGGGAAGTCCCCCAAGTCCAGGAGCAGGACCGTCTAGCAGCTCCGCAAGCTGCTGCGCGGTGGGCGGAAGCGGTCCTCCGCCTGCTCCGCCGCCTCCGCCCCCGCCCAGGTCCAGCCGCGCAAGAAGCGCAGCCGCGGCGGGACTGGACGGCGGAGGGTTCCGCGGAAAGGACGCGGGGGAGCCGCCCCCAAACTCATGCTCGGGGAAAGAGGGAGGTCCGCCTAGGGAATGCCGCGCGTGGGACATGGGGCTGGCGGAAGCGCTACCGGGGCCTTGGCGCAAGTGCGGGGGGAGATGGTGCTGATGCGGGGAGGCGTGGTGCAAGGGATGGTCAGGGGGAAGCTCCGCCAAATAACTCCGCGCGTCCGGATTCCAGCCCCGCCCCTCTCCAGTTCCCCGCATACCCAATTTATTTTGCATAAAGTCTCCCGCTGCCCCGCGCTCGGCGCCGGGACGAGGTCCGCCCCCAGGCCCGGACCTGCCGCCTCCATGTTCGGGATCTGCCGAACCTAGCCCGTCTAGGTCCGGAGGGAGAAGGCTGCCGTTGAGGTTCGGCGTATCCTGCTCGTCGAAGCTAATAAGCTCGTCTGGAAGCTGATCCCTAACGTAACGGCGATACTCGTCATCAGATGAAACTGAGGTGTTAGACGGAATTCTATCTAACGAGGAACCTTCGTAATTAGCTTCCTCTGTTGACAATCCACGGCTAGCGGAACCCTCCCCGTGCGCATTTGCCTGCGCATACATATTCCCTTCCGCCGAGCGAACATCTGCTCCCCTTTCTCCGCCGTCGCCGCCTTCCCCGCTTCCGCTACCCCCCTCAGGACCCGCGCCGGCGCCGGTTCCGCCGTTTCCGTCGCTTCCGCCGTTCCCGCCTGCGCCGGAAAAGCACGGAACGAACGCCGCAGCGTTTGGGTTGAGGCAGATGCGCGACGGGTCGGGGGGCGTGGGGGAGGGGGAGCGACCGCGGAATGACGCGAGCTGCGCGGAGTTGCCGGGGGTGGCGGAGAAAGAGTCGCGGGAGGACGTGGTGAGGGGGGAGGAGCCGGAGGAAGAGAGGGACGACGATAGGACTTGCGGAGAGGAGGAGGATGGGGTTGGAGAGAAAGGAGGAGCATGAGGCTTGAGGGCAGGGAGCGTTGTGGGGGAGGAGAGAGACGGAGAATTCGGCGTGCTTTGCTGAAGCTTCGAGAGAAAGCACGGCTTTAAGGAGCCACCTTGCGATTGGTCATCTGAAAAAGAGACACAGAGCAGTACGTATGAAGAAAGGATAACACGGTATTTGTGGGGGTGAAACCAGTAACATCGAAGCCAAGAAATTGGCTGATAATGCTTATTCGCTTGCACGGTAATGTAGTCAGTAACGGAGTAACAGCGTCTTCATCCCAGCATTTCATGAGGCGACAAGTAAAAATAGGCGAGAAAACCAGGATCATAGAAACAGATAACGCCTCCCCGGAAACAATGCGAGCTTGACATTTTCACGCCTCCATGAGTCGTGAGGCGCGAATCAGGATGGGTAATGGAAACAAGAGGAAAAAAAAAACGCATCTCATGGAAAAATGCGAGCGTGATGATGCCATAAGGGACACAACAAGATGATGCCTTTCGACATCAATTCTTTCCAAAAAATTGAGCAAATAATCCGGCTGCACCCTCCTGACTGTAATGCGGAGGGTGGTAACCACCACGAAGCCTGAAAAACATCTCTGTCACGGAACAGTAGAATTCTGAATCATTAGTAGAGATACTGATGCTCACCCTGAGGCGCTGCCTGCGCTGCTCCTGCTCCCGTCGCACCTGGCGCGGAAGCAGCAGCAGCAGCAGGCCGATCATTTACAGCAGTTTCCGCCATTTCGACGGATGCCGCGCTCCCGCGGGTGCGCTAAGGCGGAACGGAGACGACGAAACGGAGCGCCGCGATTGGCGGCAGAGCAGCAACGGATGGCCGCTGCTGCTGCGAAAGGAAATCGAGCTGCTGCAGGTATAGAAGCCCCCCGTCGTCATTCCACGCAGCTCACCCGCCGCGATGCGCCGCGCCGTGGCATACACGGCTAGGATTGGTTCTTCGCGCACTGCTTGTGGTTCTTAAGCGCACATGCTATGAATGCTTCCTGACGAAGAGCAACGTAGAAAAAAACAACACAACAAAAAGGGGAAGGCTTTATTATGGACATTAAGGGAAAATCGAATGGTGGTTCTAGAGGCAACGGTTCTGGCCTAGGTGAAACGGGGGGCTGCTTACCTTGCTACTAGCTCCATACATCACGTACCAGAAATGCTGGTAGGTTAGCTTGGTCCAGCTTGCTCCTCTGTCCGCCTGACTGCGGATGAACGGATGGCTATGGGGGATGTGGTGTGGAGCTATGGGTGTCTGGATGAACCCTGGAGTTACCCTGGATGGCTAGAGAGGAAACATGGAACTGTTGTAAAGAAACGAATCTTCTGTGCAGATCGAGTCTGGTAAACACAGGTGCACAACGGTTTATGTTACACGAAGAGAGGTTGGAAGGTTTGTCGTTCAGGGAAAGAAGATGATGCCTAGTTTTGTTCTTTGTTGCTGTGTTGCTTGCGGATGGTGAGTCGGTGATTGGTCAATTGGCCACCCTTGAGGTTGCCGCCGCCGAGCCGAACGAAACCTGGAAGTTGGTTTCAGTTTGGGATGATTGGTTGGTCATGATGGATAACAGTCGTCATGAGTCATGCGACGCAGGCGATGCCGATTACGACGACTAAACCACGCTCCCAGTTGGGGAAGCGACGCAGGAGAGCGCGTGCGACGATATGACGGCGACACACGCACCCTGCTGCTTGCCCCCTCTCCAAACTGACCTTGGTACAGGCTCAAGGGTATCAGGCTCGGCGGCTAGCTACGTTCGGGCGGGCCGCAAGGCGGCCAAAGGTTTCAGGCAAGACAGCTCAAAACCAAACCATGACATGAGGCTTGACTTGGCACACGCAGAGGTTCGGCAGTTACACCTTGATCTGCCTCGAACCAGCTTGCTTTCTGGCCAAGCAATGAGCAAGGACTTTGGTTCGGGTAAGCGCAGCACCCAAGCAGGCAGACGCCAAAGGTGGGTTTTCAGGCTCGGGTGGCGGGAACTTTTTTCACGCGCCTGGCAGACAGGCACCATCTGACCGTATGCACACCAGCACCCTGCCACGGTGCCACCACCCACAACTGACCTCGCTAGTGAAGGATTTCCCGAATGACAGCCCTTCGCCAAGTACAGTACGGTATATTGACACGACATCATATATTCACAAGCAAAACAAATCAAGAATCAACTAAACAGTTAGATCAGGCACATGAGGAGTCAACTAACAAGTTCAGGCAATAATCATCTACTTCACCGGTCCAAGTGCACGAGGCTAATTGGCTGTCTCCTGACTCTTCGCACGCAGACATGCTGCATTACCCCCCCCCCCCCCCCCTCCCCGCCTCCACCCCTCCCCCCCACCCCCAACAGCCCCACCATCATAAGTCTCTCCCCCCCCCCATCTTCCCCATCAATGCCCTCGAACAGGCATATTTAGCTAACTGTGCTACGAGTTCATGTGATCACCAAGGCGAGAATCAACAACCCAAGCAGCTGCTGCTGCAGCAGCTGTTAGCATCAGTACCAGCACCAGCTGCCGCAGCAGCACTTGTAAGTACCAGCACCAGCACCAGCACCACCACAAGCATTAGGAGCAGGCACTGCCTATCCCGAGCTACAGCCTAGAGCCTCACTGCAACCCATTGCACTTCCTATACCTCTCCTATCAGGTGACTTCCCTAGGCACTCTCCTAGAGTCAACTCAAAAGTCACCGAGACCCACCACCACTCGCATCACCACTCCCACCACCACTTCCACAACCATCCCCTTCCCCGGCTTCAGCAATCTATTCACTCGGCATTTCCTTAGAACCATGTCCCTTCTCCTTCTCCTTCCTCCTCCTCCTCTCTTCCCGCCTTGCCTCCCGCTCCTCCTTGCTCCTCCTTCCTCCCCCCACGCTTGACACATCAGACACAGAGTCGTCATCACCTGCACCAGATAAGCCTTCCCCAGATGCACCTTCCCCTGCTGCCGACACTGTCTCATCTGAACTCACGGCGCGCGATATTCTCTTTGACCTACTCCTCTCCACTCCCTCCTTTCCCTCCTTTCCTTCCTTTCGTTCCTTCTCCCTTCCTTTCTTCTCCTTCCCGTCCTTATCCTTTCCATCCTTCTCCTTTCCCTCCTTTTCCTTTCTGTCCTTCTCCTTTCCTTCCTTCTCCTTCTTCTCTTTCTTCTTCCTCTCCTTCTCCTTCCCCTCTTTCTCCTTCCCTTCCTTCTCCTCACCACTCTTCTCTTTCTCCTTCTCCTTCCTTCTCTTCTCCTGCCCCTCCTCCACACCAGCTGCTGCTGCCCCAGCCTCTCCTGCACTAACGTTACTAACACCACCACCACCAGCAGCAGCCTCAGCAGCTGCTGACTCAGCAGCAGCCTGTTCAGCCTTCTTCTGCTTCCTCGCAGCCCTCCTAGCCTCCTTCGCTGCAGCAGCCGCCGCCGCATCCAAATCACCACTCACACTACTATGCCCATGGCTGCTTGTGCTGCTGCTGGCAGGGCTGCCAACACTTCTAAAGCTCACACTGCCAATACCGTCATTACTCTCCTTGCTCCCAATGGCACCACCACCACTAACCTCCGAAACCGACGGCGATTTGCGGTGCTTAGAGGATCCCTTCTCCTTCTTCTTCTCCCGGTGCTTCTTCTCCTTCTCCCCCTGTGTTTCCACTGAAGACATTGTCCTTGCTCGCAGCAGAGACAGGCTGTCATCAACCCCATCACCCCCATCACCCCCACCATCCCCGTCACCCCCATTCCCCTCATCGCCCACTGTCCTGGCTCGCAGCAGAGACAGACTGTCATCACCCTCACCACTCCCAGCACCCCCATCAACGCCACTAGTCGCAGCACCTTCTTTGCCCTCATTGCATCCCTCCCCCCTTGGTGTTTCGGGCACCTCTGCTGCGCCGGGACTGCCCTTGTCCCCACTTCGACTCTTCCTCGCCTTCCTCTCCTTCCCAGACCTCTCCTTCTCTTTCTCTCTCTTTTCCTTCTCTCGTTCTGCCATCTCCTTCTGTTCCGTCTGCTCCTTCTGACCTCCGTCCATGCCCATCCTCCCGCCCTCCCGTCCCTCCTCAGAATCAGCCGCAGCATCCCCTTTCGTATCCTCGTTAACACATGCATTCATATCCTCCTTAGTATCCTCCTCAACATCCTCCTTAGTACGTTTGATACTGTCCTCCATAGCAAGGTCCCCAGTATCCTCGATGTTGTTACTGCTATCCTCCTTAGAATCCTCCTCGGTATTCTCCTCAATATCCTCCTTTGTGTGCTCCTTAGTATCCTCATTAGTATCCTCTAAGCCACCGTCCTCAGTATCCTCCTTCATTTCATCCATACCATCCTCCTTAATATCTCCCATATTACGCTCCTTACTATCCTCCTCATTGTCCTCTTCAGTATCCTCCTTAATATTCTCCTTAACATCCTCCGCACTATCCTCGTTACTGCGCTCCTCAGTATGCTCCTTAACCCTCTCATTAGCATGCTCCTCGCTTCTCTCCTTATCAAATACCGAACCACCATCCTCCATATCCTCCACGCCCTTGCCATCAGCAATTGCAGCAGCGGCAGCAGGGGCAGCGGGAGCAGGGGAGGCGCCAGCAGCAGCAAGAGCCTTAGCCACGAGCCCAATCCTCTTCTCCTCGGGCCATGCTACGCTGTCCTCTCGGAAAAAAGGCACGTGAAACTTCTTCTTGGTATTCCCATGTCCGCCTCGCCCCCACCCCCCAAACACTGCTCCTGCTCCTGCTCCTCCTCCCTCCCCTGCTCCTGCTCCCCTTTCTCCTCCTGATCCTGCTCCTGCTCCTGCCCCTGCTCCTCTTTCTCCTCCTGCTCCTGCTCCTGCTGCCCCTGCCCCTGCCCCTGCCCCTGCCCCTGCCCCTGCCCCTGCCCCTGCCCCTGCCCCTGCCCCTGCCCCTGCCCCTGCTGCCATTGCTGCTGCTGCCGCCGCTGCTACCTTTCCTGAAGACCCGAACGAGACAGACGCGCGAGTGGTTTGGAAAGCAGGAGAAGAATAAGAAGGGGAGAAGGAAGGGGACGACGCAAAACCAGAAAACCCCGTCTTTCCGCTCCTCACTCCCGCTGCTGCTGCTGCTCCCGACGATTTCTGAGGCGACTCAAAAGTCTTTCCGCTTCTCACCCCCGCTGCTGCGCCCAACGCCGCAGCTACCACGCTGCTTCGGCCGGTCAAGGGGCTCGGGGGCCTCCCGGACCTGGGCGTGAGGTTCGGCGAGCCGGAGCCTTCGTCGAACCTGCCGAGGCGGGCACCAGCACCACCAGCCGAACCAGCTCCAGAGCCTCGGGGAGAGTTGCTGAGAATCCCGGCTGCTGTCAAGCGCTCGTGAACAGGAGAGGCGTACCGTCGGGGGGAGAGGGTTGGGGAACCGGCAAGATCGGGGGAACCAGCTAGGGGGGAACCGGAAGCATCTAGAGGGTTAAGTGTGAAATCCTCTCTGCTGAGGGAATGACGCCTGCTTGATGAGCGTAGGGGCCCGGAAGCAGGACCGGAGAAGAAACCACCGAACTCTCGAGAGGAGGACCCGGGTGCATCCCTCGACAGGGAGTCACGCGAAAGCGAATCTCGCGCAAAGGAGTCGCGAGAGAGGGAGTCGCGTTTGGAGCTTCCGGAAAGGGAGATGGTGACGAAAGAGCCAGAAGAGTCCGAACCCGGCCCAAACGACAGGTCACCGATACCACCACCACCGCCGCCGCTGATGCCACGGTCTGTGCTTGTGTCTGTTACTGTCTCTGTGCGCGTGTCTGGTTGGGCAAAGGAGTTGAAGCTCAGGTCCAGGCTGCGGTTACGCTGTCGCGGTGGTAACCGCTTGAGGTGCAGGTTTGAAGCCAGGGAAGGAGGAGGAGAGGATTTGAGGGGACTGGCACCGGCTCTAGCACCATCCGTGCCACTGGCACTGGTAGCATCAGTTTTAGAACTATCAGCACCAGCACCAGCAGCAGCTGCTTCTGCCGCTGCAGCAGCAGCAGAGGAACCAGGGATGCCAATGTCGCTCCTGAACCCTCTCATAGCCTCTAAAGAACCTCCTTCCCTTGCCCCGCCTGCTGCTTTTCCTCCTCCCACTCCCCCTCCCACTCCTCCCACTCCTGCTCCCCCTGCTCCCACTCCTGCTCCCCCTGCTCGCCCTAGCATACGAAGAAACCTGTTGCCTTGCTCAGATAACCTATCAACAGCCGATGCAAACCGCTGCTCCCTCCCCTCCTCCTGCACCTCTTCCTCCTCCTCCCCTCCCTCACTCATCTTCCCTTCCTGCTGCCCCTGCTGCCCCTGCTCCCTTTCCTGATGCTCCTGCTGTTGCCCCTCTCCCCTCTCCCCTCCCACCACCCCTCCCTCTGCCTGCTTCTCTCCTGCCCTGCTTACCTCATCTGCTGCACCTCCCGCCTCTCCTTCCCTTTCCCCCCCAGCACCCACCACCGAAGCTGCAATCCCTGCCACAGCTGCCGATGCTGCTGCCGCTGCTGCTGCTGCTGCTGCGGCTGCCACAGCTGCAAACCCCCCCTGTGCTGCCGCCCCTGCCGCCCCTTTGGGTGGCAATACTGCCCTGCCACCTAGCTTCTTATTTGCAAGGGCTTTCATAAACCTCTCTCTCTGTTTCCTTGCCCGCTCAATCCTTTCCCTTTCCAACTCTTTCTCAATTCTCTCCCTCTCAATCCTCTCTTTGTCCTCCTCAGAAAGTGGTTCCTTTTGCTCCTCTTCTTCTCCTGCTCCTTCTCCTGCTCTTTCCCCTGCCTCTGATGTTGCTTCTACTGACGTTAATGCTGCTGCTCCTGCTGCTCCTGCTGCTCCTGCTCCCTCTGCTCCCTCCGCTTCCCCTCGTTCCCCCGCTGCTCCCTCCCCTCCTTTTCCCGCCCCATCCTCTCCCTCTTCCTTCTTTTCCTCCCTCACCTTTTCCTTCTCCTCCCCCTTTTCCTCCACCCTTTTCTCCTTCTCCTCATCCTCCTCTCTCTCCTCCTTATCCTCCACCTTTTTCGCCTCTTCCTCTTTCTTCTCCCTCTCCTCACCCTTCAACCCCCCTTCCTTCCCACCTGCTCCCACGCCCCCTCCTCCCACCACCCCCTCCCCTTCCTGCACTTTCCCCGCACTTTCCTCCTTCCCCCTTTTCAATCTCTGTAGAAACAGCTCCCTCTGTCGCTTGGCCCTATCCTGGAAAGACTCTACCCGTAATAATGGCGTAAAACGTGGGATACTAGCCCCTCCTGCAGATTCTGAGGGGGAGGGTTTGGGTGGTTCAGTGGTGGTGGTGCTGCTGCTGGTGCTGGTGTTGGTGGTGCTGTTGGTAGCGGCGGTGCCAACTGCAGTGGTGTTGCCGCTGCTGCTGCTGTTGCTACCCCACCCAAACCAACTGCTTATGACTGGGATTTCAGTTGATGCCTGCTGTTGCTGCTGGTGTTGCTTTTGCTCCTGCTCCTCCTGCTTTTGCTTCTGCTGCTCCTGCTGCTGCTGCTGCTGCTGCTCCAGCTGCTGCTGCTGCTGCTGCCAACCCCAGCCAAACCAACTGCTAGTAGGAGCGGCAGCAGTACTAGCACCGCTGCCACTGCCAGTTGAACCTCCCCCAGCCGAACCTCCCTCAGACGAGCCTCCCCCAGTAGAACCTCCCCTCACTCCATCCTTGCCAACTCCTGCTCCCTCCCCTCCCCCCCCTTCCTCATTAGATCCCACCACCTTCACCACTTTAGGCAACTCCGAAGTGCCTGCTCCCTTTGATCCTGATCCTTCGCCTCCTCCCCCTCCCGCCTCCCCTCCCTTCCCATCCCCCTCTTCAAACTCCACCACTTTCTCCACTTTATGGGAACCTTCCTCTGGTGCCGAACCTTCCTCTCCCTTTCCCTCTCCTGCTTCTCCTTCGCCCTCTCTCCTTCCCTCTCCCACTCCTCCCACCCCCACTCCCCCTCCCACTCCCACTCCGCCTCCCCCTCCCCCGCCTTCGCCCATTCTTTTAAGAAAGTCATCATCAAACACCACCACTTGCACCACCTTCGGCTCGTCCTCCGCCTTGTGCTTTACACTCACAATCCGCTTCAGTACCGATTGCCTGGACCTTGCTCCTTCTGCTCTCGCTGCTCCTGCTGGTTCACCCGCTGCTGTCCCCCTCTCCCTCTGCTGCTCCCTCTCTTCGTCGCCTTTTGCTCCTGCCTCTCTTCCAAACTCCGCACCTAAAGTTATGTGTGGTGTCTCATGTTCGTGCCCTTGCCCCTCCTGCAACTTTCCTTGCTGCCTCTGCTGCTCTTGCTGCTTCTCTTGCTCCTGCTGCTGCTGCTGCTGCTGCTGCTCCTGTTGCTGCTGCCTCTCTTGCTGCTGCTGTTGTTGCTGCTGCTCCTGCAGCAGCTGTTGCTCTGCCATCACCTCACCCATATGCTTCTTCCTCACCCGTTGAGGCCTAGGTGCTTCAACTACCTCCTGTTGCTGCTGCTGCTGCTGCCGCTGCTGCTGCTGCTGCTGCTCCTCCTCCTCCTGCTTCTGCTGCTCGTCGTGCTTCTGCTCCTCCTCCTGCTTTTGCTGCTGCTCTGATACCACCACATCAGCTTCTTGCGTGTGTGTCACCCCCTCCCTGCTCCCCCCTTCTTCCACCTTACCCCCACTCCCAGCAACCACAGCTGAAGCAGCAGCAGAAGAATCAGCAGTATCAGCAACCAACCCACCAGCACTCCCCTCCCCTTCCCTTCCCAACCCCCCATCCCCACCACCTTCACCACCACACACCACCCCCTCCACCCCACCTCCCTTTCCCCCTCAGCCCCATCTCTTCCTCCTGCCCCCTCCCCTTCGGCGTCCCCAGAAGCCTCTCCCTTCCGGTCCCTTTCAGGGCTGGAAGAATTGTCTGAACTGTCTCGTTTCTTGCTCCTGCTGAGGCTCATAGGCAACGGGTGTTCCGACAGCGGACTGACCGACCGAGGGCTCTTAACGAATTTGCTTGTATCGAAGATGCTTATAGAGGGGCTTTTTCCGGGGGGGCTTTTAAGAGAGAGGCTTTTAGCATGCGGGTTGGAGGAGCTTCTAACGAACATGCTTTCAATGGGACTTTTGGGGCTTTTAGCGAGGATGCTTTTAAGGGGGCTTCTTTCGGTGGGGCTTTTGAGGGTTAAGCTTTTAGTATGCGGGTTCGAGGAGCTTCTAGCGAACATGCTTTCAACGGGGCTTCTGGCGTTCGGGCTTTTAGCGAAGATGCTTTTAATGGGTCTTTTTGCGTTGGGGCTTTTAGCAAAGATGCTCCCAGAGGAGCTTCTAGGGCTCTTAGCGAAGATGCTTCTAGAGGGGCTTTTTGGGCTGGAGAGCTGCTGCTGCTGCTGCTGCTGCTGCTGCTGCTTCTGCTGCTGCTGCTGCTGCTGCTGCTCGCTCTGCATACTCCCAAACTCAGCACCGCTCTTATCCCCCTCATCCCCGTCTTCCTCCTTGCCCCATTTCCCCCCCTTATCCCCTCCCCTCGGGCTTTTCAGCTTGCTCCACGCACTAGCAATAAGATTTCGAGGGCTTTTCCCCCCGTGCCCCGGACTTCTTTTTCCCGCATGACTAGGAACTTGGCTTCCATACCTGGGACTAATCAACCCCTCACTCACTTGAGTCCCCTCCCCATCCCCCCAACCAGAACTCAGCCCTTCTCCTCCTCCTCCTTCTCCCCCTCCCCCACCTTCTCCCCCTTCTCCTCCTCCCCCTCCTCCTCTCCGGCCGCCTATCCCCCTCCTCAGGGGGCTCAGAGGCGCCAGACCAAGCAGCCTGGCTCGGGGAGTCCGAGCCTTGCCGGGAGGCTCGTCGGCGGACCGGCAGACGGGAATGCAGGCTCGGGGGGACGGCGCGGCCCCCGAGCCTGGAGGTCGGGGAAGAGGTTGGGAGGAGAGGGAGGGCGGTGGAGGCAGCTGGACTGATGGCCCTGCTTGTGTTTCTGCTGCTGCTCCTGCTGCTGCTGCTGCTCCTTTCGGGCTGCGCTTGGGGCTGCGGGGGAAGAAGTGCGGTAGGTGCAAGCCGTGGTGGTGGTGGCGATGCTGCTGTTGGTGGTGGTCGTCATTATCGTGCTGCTGGTTGTCGCGGTGACCATTCTCGGAATGATCCTTGTCGTCACGATCGTTACCGTGATGCTGACTGTCCTGCGGATGACTCTCCCCATAGTGAGTGTGAGAATATCCCCCTTCTTCTCCCACTACCCTCTTCTCCTCCTCCCCACCCTCCTCCCCACCAACCTCCTCCCCTCCCTTGTCCTCCTCTTCCTTCTCCTCACCAAACCCACCTCCCGGGTTGCTCTGAATACCCAAGCGAGGGGGAGGGTTGCGTGGGAGAGCGTGCAGCGTCTTCTCGGAAGCTTCCTCCTGCACCACCTCCTTCACCTCCTCCCCGCTTGCCGGTTCTTCCTCCCCCCGGTCCGACATTACATCTGACGTTACATCTGACGTCACATCTGAAATTACATCTGACGTTACATCTGAGGTTACATCTGGCGTTACATCTGGCGTTACATCTTCCCCAGTATCGCCTCCGGTTAGGCCAAAGCTTGCTCTCTGCTTGTTCCTCCGGCCTGCATGCACCGGTACCGAACCTAGCGACCCTGACGAGCCTACCGGCCCTACCGAACCTAGATCCCTTCCCGAGCCTCCCGTTACAGCTCCTTCCACACGTGTAACTGCACCGCCTACCGCCCCACCAACAGTTGTAACCGCCCCTCCCACTGCCCCGCCGACAGTTGTAACTGCGCCGCCAACTTTACCACCCACAGTTGTAACTGCACCGCCCACCGCCCCACCAACAGTTGTAACTGCGCCGCCAACTTTACCACCAACTGTTGTAACAGCACCGCCTACTGCCCCACCAACAGTTGTAACCGCACCGCCAACCTTACCACCCACAGTTGTAACCGCCCCTCCCACTGCCCCTCCAACAGTTGTAACCGCGCCTCCCACTGCTCCTCTCACAGATGAAACCGCTTTCTCACGAGCAGATGAAACGGCACTAGTTAACCCGCTAGCCGCGCCGCCAATCTTAGAAAGCCCCCCTCCTATAGCAGCAAAGGAGCCTCCTAATTTCCCCGAATGGGTCTTAGCAAAAGAGCTTCCTGAAACAGAAGAGTTTTTAACCAATTGCTGCTGACCGTCGTTGGTACTGCTGCTGGGGGTGCTGCTGCTGCTGCCCTCACTATCACTACCACCACCGCCAGCGGCAGCAGCAGCAGCAGCAGCAGCAGCACCGCCGCCGCCGCCGCCGTTGCCACTGCTGCTGATGCTGCTGCTGCTGTTGTTGATGGTGCTGCTGGTTTCAGGTGCCGATATTTCCCACTCTGCCTCTTCCTCTGCATGCTTCCCTGCCTTACCCATGCCACCCATGCCCTTCCTGCTCTTCCCCAAACGTGACCCTATTCCCCCCACCGCCCCCCCAATCCCTCCCACCGCACCCTTAATCCCCCCCCTGATCCCCCCACTGATATCCGCAATACCCCCTACCGTGTGGGTGATTCCGCCAACTAGCCCCTTCCTGCTGCTGCTAACCCCCTTGCTGATGGAATGCGCGAAGCTTCCGCGCAATTCCCCAACAGAGCTCGCAATACCCCCCACCGTATGCACAACCCCATGTGTCGCTGCCTCATGTTTTGCCTCGTGTTTTGCAGCTTTAATACACTCTTCCATAGTAGTCCCCGCCTCGTCTAAATACCACTCAATAGTAGGCTCCCAGATTTCCCGGAGCACCTCAGGCACGGGAGGAGCTTCGGCGTTGTCGCCGGACGGGAGGTCTAGGTTCGGGAACCGAGCCAACACGTCACGTTTGGCTTTCCACGAGGCGTGGGCGAAGGACAGAGCGGCGACAGCGGCCTTGCGCGGCTGGGGTTGGTCGTTGAAACCTAGGGATGTGGGATGGGATGAATCAGCTGGTATAACCAGAGCGGGGGGGGATGGGGGAAGGGACGAAGGGGGAGAAATGAGTGAGCGGCAGATAGGGCGGCGACACTGGTGGATGAGGAGTTGGTAATTGAGGGGACTGACTTAGTACGACTAAATGATGAAGCTCGTTTAGTTCATGAAACATCGCGAAGAGTTAGTAGTAACGCGTACTTCTTGACCTGGCTTGTTTTTTTTTTTGTTACGCGTTAGTTCGTTCGTTACTTAGTTCCAACGGGTACCCACCAACCGCGTTTTTTCCTCCCTCGCCTTTAAATGCGTCCCTTATGTCAACTCGATGAGCGGCGATTCATAGATTCGCGTGACACACCTGTTGACACGCTAAGCTGCATTCTTCGTATGTTTTTAACTCAACTCAAAACACAACTGAAAAAGCGGCAATTTTTTTGGCGCATTTTTTCAAAGGCCCCGAAAAAGCCCCTCAAAAGGCGCCGCAAAAGTCGCTCAGCTACATTGGTGCTGTGTTTTAAGTCGATTCAAAATACACCTCGACGAGCGGCGATTAAGAGAAGTCGCCTACACACTCAAATACATTCTCGCTTTGCGGCATGCATGGCGAAGACTCGCGAAATGAACGAAACCCGACGAAAACATGTTCGTACCTGTTAGGAGCCACTTTTCCAGTCGTTCGATTTCGCCCGGCTTCTCTCGTTGCAGGTCGGCCATATTTTTCAGCAGATGCTCCCACGCGTCGTTCGACAGCATTCTCGCTTTGCGGCATGCGTGGCGAAGAGTTACGAAACCAACGAAAACCGTCGAAAGTTTATTCGTACCTGTTAGGAGCCACTTTTTCAGTCGTTCGATTTCGCCCGGCTTCTCTCGTTGCAGGTCAACCATATTCTTCAGCAGATGCTCCCACGCGTCGTTTGACGAAAGAGCGATAACCGTCCACGAAGCCGTCCCTTCGTCTTCGCGAATCATCGCGAACGCGCCCAGCGGCCTCACCGAGTACAACTGTCCCGGTTTCGCTACCATGCCGCCGATCTCTATAACGCGTACGGGCTCGCCGGCGAATGGCAGCACCCGGCCGTTACCCACGTCGCATTCATCCTTAGGATCCTGCCACGTCTGCGTCGCAATACCGATGTTCCACGTGGCAGTAGCCGTGTAGCGCGCCGCGGCGCCGTCTCGCGCCACGTGGCGGATAGGGTTGTAATCCTCGTCTTTCGCGACTTCGACTATCGCTGACGTGCCTTTCGGCGTGTGGCAGAGGAAATTAAATCCGTCGTCCGCAGCGCGGTGCGGTACGTCGTGCCAGGGGGAAATAATCTTAAAGTCGTTGTCGTCATCGAAGAATAATCGCCGGTGCGCGAGAGTGCCTTCCGGGCCGAACGCGACGACGGAGATTCCGTCCGCGTGCTCGTCGCGCTTTATCTTCGACGCCATTGTTGCTCACGTGTACCACACCAAGAGTTCACGTGCCTTGAGAATATAGCCGCATTTCATTGGATGAAGGGACGCGCTTAGGGCCACGTGAAGCGAAGAAGCACGGCCATGGCGAAATCTTGAAATGGTACACAAATTTTAGAAAAGCAGAAGCAATGAGAAGAATTAGGTTGACATTTACAACAAAATAGCACGCAAGTTAGCAAGGAATTCCTGTCGCTCAACCAGCAAACAAGGAATGAATGCTGTTCAAGCAAGTAAGCCAACCAAGCGCCCGTTTCTCGCGCTACGTACAAACTCGCACGCACATCAAAAGAAGAAGCGAGGGGAATTAGTGGAAGAAGTGGAGCAGCGGCTCCAAGTGAACTGACATCGTTTTATATTACATCAAACAGTCACTGAATCGCAGCGTATCGTTCTGAACCACTATCAAACTCTGAGCAAGAGATCTGTGAGAAATCATGTGCTTTTCGGGCTGGTGTGGTGGCAGGCAGGACGGGGTGCTAGCCAAGCCAGTGTGCCATCGTGAAGTTGGCATGGCAGGCAACCAACCAACCACGCTGGATGGGGGGTTTGTTGTGCTTCGATTAACCACGGTTGTGCTAGTTGCGTCACGATAGAGAACGGTAAATAACGAGTTCTTTTACCGCCTGGACCTCTTGCCACCACAATGCTGTCCTGCCCGCCCTAAATATCTGTGGAGTGCAGCAATTCCCCGCCCAACCTCACTCTTCCCGCTGGGACTTGGAGAACATACCCTGAAAATTGTGTGAGACGCTCCCCCTGTTTTGTGTCGTTGAATGAAAATATCGGTCAATTGCTTCTCAGAAGTACCCAGCACAAGTCGGGGCATTACATTCTACTGTACTTCGGAAAGGTCAACGTGATAGGTCGGTAGGTAGTACTGTACTGTCAAGCATCCTGCCTGCCCTTGATTGGGCAGGTGAAAATGTTGCACCGTTGCTACTTGTCAACCATACGCCTTCGTTTCTTCCCTCATCTCATCATCACGTCACCACCAAACAAGGGTCCACGCAATCGTGCAAAAAGACTTGACATTGTTGTCTCTTTGTCTGACTCAGCATGGAGGTTCGCCAAGTGGGAGCTGATACTGGGGCACAGACAAAGGTGCGTGGAGTAAACATTGCGTTGACGAAAGTATATTCTTGATACTAGCAGATCCGTTACTTCCGGCTGTCAAATCCTGAACTCTGAAGTTAATTGAACTTACTGAAGGGTTCTAGCTTTCGAGATTCACTGCGATCAACGTACATTGTGGCAATCCCATCAGACCAGTGAAGTAGTTTAGAAATACCGTACCGAGTAAGTAGATGTCAAACTCGGAGGCCATTCTTCAAGCTGGCTAAAAAAAAAAAATCCTTTCTATCCATCTCCCTCTCCATGACCTCCTCTAGCCCGCTGCTCACAGCATCCGTCGTCCCTTTCTCGGTAAACCCTCACTTCAACCATTTTGCGGAAGCTAACTCTCCTGGGACTGGGAGGAACAACAGCCGGCTGCCCAGCTGCTGCTCGTGCGGCTGCTGCTGTTGCTGTTGCTGCTGCTGCTGCTGTTGCTGTTCCTGTTGCTGTTGCTGCCGCCGGTTCTGCTACTGCTGGTGCTGCTGCTTCTGCCTCTGGTAGGACCAAAGCTGTTCCTCCTGCTGCCTCTTCTACAGTTGGTAGTGTTGCCGCTGCTGCTGCTGTCGCTGCTAGTGCTGCTGCTGCTGCAGCAGACTTAAAGCCATTGTCCGGTGTCAGTTGCACGGGCTCACTAAAACTGACCCTCCTGGGGATTGGGGACAATTTTCCAGGCGCTTCACCATCAGGTGTCAGTCCCACCGGCTCACTGAAGCTCACTCTCCTGGGGATTGGTGATGTGTGGTGAGGAGCGGTGTTGTGAGGTGGAATGCGTTCTACCTGCATCACCTCCCGAGTGCTCCCTGTGGGGGTGTGAGCACTTGCGTGGGGTTGGGCGTGAGAGGCTGTGTGTGGGACTGTGTGCGGGGGTGTGTGGGGTGCTGTGTGAGGAACTGAGTGGGATGCAGTATGGTGAGGTGCGTAAGAGGTGGGTGCATTACAGTGCGGTGCGGTATGGTGAGGTGAGCTAGACCCAGCTGCACAGTGGTGGTTAGGTTCAGTACCCGAGGGCATATCAGGGAAAGTCACTCGGCGGGGACTGGCTGGGATGGCTGCAAGAGAAACTGGTTGGGATGCATTGCAGTGCGGTGCACTGCGGTGAGGAGCATTGCTGTGTGGGTTTTCGCTCCCAGTGGGCATATCAGGGAAGGTGACTCGGCGGGGACTGGCAGGGATTGCACCTGACGACAAGGCACCACCACCAGCATTCTCAGCCTTGATGCCTGCTCCACTCCCGCTGTCTATGCCACTGCTTCTGCTGCTGCTTTTGCCACTTCTTTTGCTGCTGCTTTTGCCAGTTAATGTTTCTGCTGCTGCTGCTGTTGCTGCTGCTCCCACCAGTGCTGCTACTGTAACCACTGCTGCTGCTGCTGTGGTTGCTGCTGCAAGTGCTGCTGCTGTCTGTGTCACTTGAACTCGAACCAGGAATAGCGGCAGGAGCAGCAGAAGAGGAAGAGAAGGCAAAAGCTGTGACAGAAGCAGCAGCAGCAGCAGCAGCCGCTGCCGCAGCCGATTCAACATTAGTTGCAGCAGCTGTGGAAGCAGCAGAGGGGGGGGGACTTGTTGCTTTAAGTGCACTCCTCCTAGGGCTTGCCATGGGCTTAAAGGCAGCAGCAGGACCAGCACCACCAACAACAACAGAAGCAGCAGCAGCAGCAGCAGCAGCAGCAGCAGCAGCAGCAGCAGCAGCAGCAGCAGCAGCAGCAGCAGCAGCAGCAGCAGCAGCAGCAGCAGCAGCAGCAGCAGCAGCAGCAGCAGCAGCAGCAGCAGCAGCAGCAGCAGCAGCAGCAGCAGCAGCAGCAGCAGCAGCAGCAGCAGCAGCAGCAGCAGCAGCAGGAGCACCAGCAGGAACAGCAGCACCCGCCGCACCAGCAGCAGCGGCACCACCACCAGCACCGCCAGCAGCAGGAGTACCGCCAGCAACAGCAGCAGCAACGCCAGCAGCAGTGGCCCTCCCAGCCACACGAACCCTCCCAAAAGCACCCCCCCCCGCTGCTGCAGCCACTGCTTTTCCTCCTCCCTCGCCCTCTCCTCCTCTCTCTCCTCCTCCTCATTCCGAACCAGAGTCACCACCTCTACAAGTTTGTCAAAGCTCACACGCCTTGGGCTTGGAGATTTGGTGGTGTGGTTTGCATCAAAGCTCACAGGCCTTGGGCTCGGGGATTTGTTGTGGTTTGCACCAAAGCTGACACCTCGCGGGACCAGAGATGTGTTTGCATTCACATCAAAGCTCACCCGTCTTGGGCTGGGTGATTTGTGACCCGATTCAGAGTTTACACTGTTTGGGCTGGGTGATTTCTGAGTTGCATCGAAGCTCGCAAGTCTTGGACTCGGTGATTTGTTGTGGCTCGCATCAAAGCTGACTCGTCTTGGGCTCGGTGCTTTCTGATTTGCTTCAAAAGTCACTCGCCGTGGGCTAGGCTGATGGCTCATCCCATGTGATCGTGCAACGGGTGCCGAACCTGCTGCCAAACCTGCTGCCGAGCCTGCCGCCGAACCTGCTGCCGAGCCAGAAGATGATGTCAAATCTGCAGCTCCGCACACAATCTGCTGCTGCTTCTGCTTACCCATTGATGCCTGCTGCTCTGGCAGACCCTGGTGCTGCTCTGCTAGTGCTTGCTGCGGTTTGGTTGACAAACCTCCACCTCTTGCCTCGGCAAAAGCTTCAGGTACGGCGAACCGGACCACAGGGGAGGTGGTGCGAGGAGGCCGGGCAGCCAGGCTTGGGCTCGGAAACCGAGCCTGCGGCACAGGCCCGGGAGCTCCAGGGCTGGGAAGGGAAACGCGAGGAGAAGGTTTGGCAGGAGAAGGGAGGGTTCTAGGGCTGGGAGCAGAAGAGGCATGGGGGTGGGATGGTGTGGGAACCAGGATAGGTGCGGGGGCGTTTCGGCGAAAGGAGGCTCTTGAAGTCGCCTCTGCTGTTGCTGCTGTTCCTCCTCCTCCGTCTCCTCCTCCCCTTCCTGCTTGACCTCCTGCTCCTGCTGCTCCTCCTCCTCCTCCTCCTCCTCCTGCTCCTGCTACTCCTCCCGCTGCTGCTGCTGCTGCTGCTGCTGCTCCTCCTGTTGCTGCTCCTCCTGCTGTTCCGGATATTACAGCAGCAGCTGCTTGGAGCGCGTCTATCGTCCCTCCACCTGCTTTCACCACCGCCGAAGCTGCTGCCACCGCTGCCACCTCTTCCAGGTTTTGAGGCGCCTCAAACCCCCCCTCCGGATGCGGTGACGTGGACACTGCTGATGTGGACAATGGCGACGTGGACAACGGTGACGTGCTTGTTGGATTTGATGCGTCGCTAAAGGAAGGGGAGGCGAAGGGAGGGGAGATGGGGGAAGGAGATGAAGGAGGGAGAGAGAGCGCAGGGGAAGGGGGGGAGTGTACAGAAGTGTAAGGGGAGCAGAGAGAAGAAGATTGGGGGAGGAAGGGTGGGGAGGAGGAGAAAGCAGGGGAAGGGGGAGGGAGGAGGAGGTTGGGAGAGGAGGCGGAGCGTCTGAAGAAGTTCCTGGAAGCTTCCCCTGTAGCAGTTGCACCAACAGTTGCACCAGCAGTGGCAGCAACAGCGGGGGTATGAGGAAGCATTTCAGGGGGAAATTGGGGGCTGAAAAAACCCGTAGGGGGTAAACCGCCTGTAAGGGGTATGGGCGGGCGTTGAAGGTGCTTTGAGGAGGTTGAATGCGGTTGTGAGGGGCTGAGCGTGGTTGGGTAGGCGGGAGGAGTATGAGACATAGTTCTATGGTGATGCCTATTTCTTTCCTTCCGTACCCTTGTTCCTGCCCCAGCTGCTCCTGCCGCTCCTGCTGCTCCTTCTCCTTCTGCTGCTGCTCCCACCCCTGCGGCTCCTGCTCCTGCAGCAGCAGCAGCAGTAGCAA